GCGGAAACTACTACACTGAATTCCTAAATCAGTCTGAATTAAGTTCAGTTGTGGAGGCACCAGAACATTTATTTTCTGGATTTGTACTCCCTCACTAATCACTTTCATAGGCAGTAAGTAACAAGTAAAAGAAGTTCTTCTGAAAAGTGCTTTATTTTTCTTTCTTATGCAAGAGCCATGTTCTGTTCCCATTTTTTCCCATAGGAAACTGCTGATCTTAGCAGTACCCAAACTTTGGACGAAATGTCAACAGAGGAGAAGTGGAAAAAATTCCCACCCTGAACGTAATTTTTTCCTGTCTCTCGTAATACATTCCCAAGAAACCCTGAAATATAATACAGCCATATTTACTTTTGGAGGGTTTGTCCAGCTTCTGCAGCATTCCCCATGGAATGGGGAACCAGTGATGTTTTATCCAAGTCTGTGTCTGAATGCCAACTTCCAAAGGAGTTTGGGCAGGTGTGGGAAATGGATTTGTGGAGAATTCTTAAAGTTTGATAGAAGGTTCACTAGTGTGTACATTTGTATGTACATTTTGAGATAAGAAATGCTGACTTGGAAATGGCATGGAATAGGACAGATATTGTTGAGAGAAAAATGGAACTAGAAACAAGTTTCAAAGGACGGCTTTGCAAATAAGACTAGATGCTTTGGAGAAACAGAACTATGAAAAATCCAAACTATGAAGAATCCAAATCCATTTCCCACAGGCAGGAAGCAGGAAATGGAGCCCTTCAGTTGACAGGTGCTTCCCAAAGTAGCACTCCAGGGTTTTTCCCCCACCCTGGCCCAAAACTCTCCTTCTTTACACACCACCTCACTTGGGCTGGCTTTGAGCTGCTAAATCCTGGAAAACTCCTGGGATGGAGAGCCCACAGCCTCTCCAAGCATCCCTGCTCTGGTTGTGCCTGAAGTAAGAACCCAGGGAGCAAGGGATGGAAATCCACCTTGCCTTGCTTGACTTGGCCGATCCTCATTTGTCTTTCGACTAATTAGTGACCATGGGGACCAGAGATGTACTAGGGTTGAAGGGATGAAGGAGAAGGAATTTTTCTTCCCCTTGTCCGGGATGGATGACAGACACTGGAGATATTGGGAGTCCAAGCCTTTCCTCAAGTTACCCCAGGAGTTTGGCACAACAGCAACGCCTCCTAGCAAGGACAGAGGGGGAAATCCCTCATTATTTCTTGTCTCTATCTAAAGCCTCCTTCAGTCTAAGCTCACCAACGACTCTGAATCACTCCCAGTTCGAGTGAAACATAAAAAAAGAAACCTTAGGACTACAAACACAGACACAGAATCTAAAATTAACAAAAGGAAAACCTCTAGGCTGCCGTGGATTTTCTCAGAGCTCAGCAGCCCCTTCCCACCATCCCAACGTGCTGATGATTTCCTCTCCCACATCCCTCAGAACCGTCTGCACCCCAGACAGGGCCTGCTCTGAGACTCCCAGGGGCTGTCCCTTCCCCTTCTCCAGCACTAATAAACATCATTTTGAAAGAGCAACGGGATGTGTCATCTCCATGAGCTGCTGCAGTCATCCCACAGTGTTTCAGTGATATCAGACACATCAAAATTACTCCTTCTGCTCCCTTCAAGCAGGCTCCTCACCACAGCTGCTCTGCTATGGATCCGCAACTGGCTCAGAAAACAGCCGAAAACTCAACCAAAATGGGATTTTCACAGTGGAAAGGCTGTGGTTTTACCGTCTCAAGCCTCAGCAGTGGACAGAGCTTTGCTTTCACGCTGCTGTGTTTTTGAGGCGCTGCTGCTGCCCTGCTTCTGCATCGATCTGGATGCCAGGGAAAGAGTATTCCATTAAAACCACCAGTCAGGCTTTGGCAGCTGGCACAGCAGCTCTCCAAAGCACGGAGGAGTTTAAGGAGATGACAGTTACCCAGTTGCTTTCCAGCAGGGAAGCAGCAAAAATCATCTGCGTGCAGCGGGCAGGCTCCCGGTGCCAGCTGCAAATCCCTGCCAGTTAAGGCAAACAACCATTTAATTTTCTTGCAGAGAGGGACAGGATTGACTTCCCATCCCAAGCAGCCCTGAGAAAGGTCAGCAGGCACCAGGAAATACCGAAAAATTGTGTCAAAACCCAAGCCAAGATGGGTTTCAATGTGCTCCAAGACAGGGGCTGAGAGATTTGACGTCACCAAAATCCAAAGTGCAGAGGAGCTCCAGGAAATTGTCACAAACTCCATCAGGAAGGCCTGGAATGCTTGTGATGCCCCAGCTCTACAGCTGCCACACAATTCCTGCTCCCAGATGAACAGCTTATTCCTCTGCTCAGCTTTCAGTAAAGGGATTTTCCTCCCCAAAAAGAGATTTCCTTAGGTAAAAGCACTCTGTGCCCCCACTGCTAAACTCCTCAACCACCTTCTCATGGCAAGGGATTTTGGACAAGTTCTGCTGAAATTATGGTAAAATTTACACAGGAGCTCAGGGAATGTCAGCAATTACCAGCATGACCTCAAGGCTCAGAGAGGAATGGAGATTAGAGGGAGACTTGTTTTTCTGCAGTGATTTGGTAGCAGATGGTGACTTTTATTTAGCCCTTTTGAAGAAAAGTAGCCTTGAAATGGGCACTTTCCCAGCTTCATTAACATGATATTGAGAGAAATATCAAATGTCTAAAGCAGAGACAATTCCCAGAGCCTCACACAATCCTTAACAAATCCAAACTCTCGTGCTGCAATCTGCTTGGTGGCTTTTGAAGATGTGAACCTCCAACTTCTGCTGCTTCTTCCTCTGTGCTTTCCAATTTTATTCTGCTGTGAAACCAGCTCAGCTTCTCCTTTCTTTGCTTGTAAAATTCTGAGTGTTTTCCACCTCTCAGCAGAAGCTGAAACCACTCACTTCTTCCACCTGTGTTTTGTTTGCTGATAGGTAAAGCAAAATATCTGGCATTGTAATGTGAGCATCTTCTCAGCCCACCCTGAGCAGCCTCACTGAACCCTCTGAGCTTGCAACAGGACTGAAGTGACCCAAAAACTTCAAAAGTTTAAAGTAAGAGCAAGGAAAGAGTCAAACAAGCCAAGGTTGAAGAAGCCAGTGAAAGCCTGGATTTAAAGCACTTCATGAAGGGTCAGAAGTCACCAGCATTACATTCAGGAGAACAAACTGTGGCTAAATAGTCAAGACAAACCAGACATGGCTACAAATTTAAGAAAATATTGCCATGTTTTGGCCTCTCTGGATTGTAAACACTCTTCTGGGTGGATAATTCTATAAGAAGTACCTGCCAGCCTCCCCCTGCTTGAAGAAAATCCATGTGCTGGCTGCTCCTGTGCCTGAGGCTCAGGAGGATGTGTTTACACCGGTGACATTTCACAAACTGTGTCCCCATTCCCCTCCCACTCAGTGCTTGACAGAGACAGCACCAAGCCCGGACTGATTCCTGCTAACAGGAAAAAAAATGTTCCCTTTCAGCTGATAAATAGGCACAAGTCAAGAGGAAATCAATTACAAGCAGAAAATACACATTTCTAACCTGTACATTTAAGCAGTTCCTTTACAAATGCTGAGATACAGCTGAGATAGCTTCAAATCTTTTTTTAAACAGCTAAAAACCCTGCACTTCTTGCTGGCTTGCAGGAGCACATATGGCATGCCAGAAAGCACATGAAGGAATCATATGAACAAACAGCTCCTGCTACATAAATGAAGGCAAAATCGATTCTCCCTCCACTTATTGTTGAATGAAAACCATCCAGAACCATAAAATATTACAGGGGGGAAAAGGCCCTAAAAAGCTGAACTCAAATAGTGAATTTCTATTTTGCTGCAAGGTTTTTGATTTTATTTCACTGATCATGGAGTCACAGGACAGTTTGGGTGGGAAGGGACCTTAAGGACCATCCAATCCCATTATTCATATTCCCAACACTCCCTCACCCTCCTGCAACTCCACAGCTTTTTAAATCTATTACCTTGTGTTTATTTATTCTCCAGTGCAATCCATAACAATGCTCAGGTTAAACCTGCCCCATCATAAACTCCAAGAGGCAATCTCCAGCTGAAGGAATTAGTTACTCATAGTGCTCTCAGCTCCCAAAACCTGTGTATAAAACTCAGCCCAACTTAAATCATATCAGATTTGTACCCAAAAAAAAAAATCAATTCCTGTGTGGAGCTGCCAGCACTCATTAATCATGTCCTGATGAATGAAACCCTTTCCAGTGCTGGCAACAGAGATTTGCTCTGAAATGGTGGAAATGTTTCAGGTTAATCTTTTTGACAAAGCAGTCAATTCTGTGAAATAACTTCCTCCACATCCCCTGCATTCCCAGCTAGAATAAATCCAAGGAGCTGGGCTGGAGCAGAGGAATCCAGGCTGATTTCTATCAGCTGTAGACCAAGCCAACAATTTTTTTCCCTGTTTCAGTGCCTCAGTTAAAATCCTCAGGGAACCTTGGGACATATTTTCACTTGTTTGGCCGATGATCTGCATGGAGGGGCTTCCAGATGGATTTGGGAAGACAAGCTGAAAAATGCATGGTCATGTTCTCCTCTAAAATGGTGCTGAGAGGGGCTAAGATGACCTTTGCTGAAGTGTATTTTAAGAACAAGAGTCACTTAGGGAATACTTCATGTCTTGGGATAAAAGTATTTAACTGGAAACGAGACCTAAAGAAGAACAGGATATTTCAAACTGGTTGTGTGTCACAGCCTACTGTATTTACAGTAGCTTTTCTTTCCAAAAGAGGGACAGAAAAATCAGAACTTTGGACTTGAAGTTTTCTTTGACCCTTTTAGAACTGAGCATGGGAAGTGCAGCATCACAGCACCAGAGTAGAGAATGTTTAATAAAAATGTTGTTTCTGATGGGAAACCCTACTGCTCATTTTAGCAGGCTCCAAAAGGCATTTTTGTACCACTTGGTGCTGAAACTTTATTGTACAACACATGTTTATCCTGAATTAAGTTTTTTTCCACCTTTCTGAAAACACTTCATGATAATGGTTAAGGTTTGGGTTTTTTTCTTCACCTGTAATTCTTTAAGCAGGCCTGGGACAGAGGCACTGGGAATAGGAACAATTTTTGAACCCTTCCAAGGATGGAGATTCCACCACCGCCCTGGGCTACTGCAAGTGAGGGCCAGAGCAGAACCTTATATTTTATCTGCTCTCAGATTTCAAGTTAATTATTTGCTGTTTGAAAATCTAATCATCTCCTTCTCAGAATTTTCATTTGCAGGATTCTTCCTAAAAAGATCACTTGACATACACACACACACACAAAAAAAAAATCAAATTATATACTTCACTGCAAGTAGAAAGGGAAGTGTAAGGAAGGTCATCTCTGAGTGGTGCTGGCTGAAGGTCACTCTGCTCCAGCTGAGCTTTTAAATATCAGAAAAAACAACAGGGATCAGCAGCACAGAGCCGAAGGTGACACATATTAGTGAGACACGGGATTGCAGTGGGTGGAAGGGGAGGTCTGCCTGCAAATATTTACACAAACTGGAACAGATTTAGGACAGGCTGAGCCAGCCCATCCAACCATGAGGCAAAGCAAGGCTTACTCTGACCGACCTCGAGTTTGATATTTACTGTGTCCTCTGGGAATTCAGGCCTGGCTTAGGCTAAGTCAGGTCAATAAAAATGAAGTCCAGCTCCTGAAGTCTGGTAATAGCTCAGCAATTGAAAGGATTAGAAAGAGGAGGTTAATCCTGGGGCTAGATCTAGAAGCAGGGTGCCTGTGCTGAGCCCAAACCAGACAGACTGGGCTCCTCAGCACAGCAGGGCCAGGAGCTGCTGGAGCTGAGCAAGGGCCTGGAGCCTCTGGGTGCCCAGGAAAGGCTGCGGGAGCCGGGGCTGCTCAGGCTGGAGAGGAGCCCCAGCTGAGAGGGGCCCTCAGGCCTGGCTGTCCCTGGCTGCAGGAGGGGCAGAGCAGGGCCCAGGCTCTGCTCCGGGGCCCAGCAATGGCACCAGAGCCACGGGCAGGGCCTGAGCCCAGCAATTGCCCTGCCCAGGAGGCACAACTTCTTCCCTGGGCAGTGCCCAGCCCTGAGCACATTGCCCACACAGCCTGGGGGCTCTCCTCCCTGGGGCTGTGGCAGAGCTGTGTGCACACCATGCTGTGCCCTGTGCTCTGGGATGGCCCTGCTGGAGCAGGGAGGTGACACCAGCTGCCCACTCAGCTCCCTCAGCCTCAGCCACCTTGGGATTCTGTGGAGTGAGGTGCAATGCTGACCATGGTGATGCCTCAAGTTTTAGCTTTTATATTTTTCAGATTCTGTGCTGCTTCAGTGTGTAGTTCTGACCTTCACATTAAGGGATGGTGAGGTCTCTTCACAGAGTAGGGAAACAAAATAATTCCTTCTCTAGCTGGGGACCAAGGACAAATGATCCAAATTTCAGGCCCCAGGAGCATAACCAACGTGGACTGAAGAGAGAAAACAAGAAGGATGGGACTCCATAAGGTAAAGCTGTAATTAGAATATTAACTCCCATATGCAAATGAAGCAGAACTTATAAAAGTGAGAGACCCCGTGAGTGGTCGTGCATTTTGTGACCATCTTGGTTCATCTTGAGTGCAGTCCTGGCTGGGCTCTTGTGCTGCCCAAAGTGGATCCATGGAGTACTTTTAATAAATTCCTGCTTTATTCTTTAACTCTGTTTGGCCTCTGATCTAGGTCAGCCTTCACAAGGCATCAATGGAGCCACCACCGTGGACACTCCAGTCCCGGTAAACATGGAAACCTCTGGAAGTATCTCCTCTGCAGAGCTCTCCCAACACTGCACTACAGCCACATCCATCCTGCCTGAGCCTGCAAGCAGTTTCAGATCCTGTAGAGGCCTCTGCCTCGCCCACAGCCTCGAGTCCCTTAAGGTCTGCAGACCTCCAGGCTACCTGAACTCACCTATTTCCAGGCAGCTGCTACTCAAACCTCACTTGGTGGCTAGAAAAAGACAGCAAGAAGAGCAGAAACTTATACTGCTTTGGAAACTATTGGACATTTCGCATCCTGTCTCAACCACTTTGTGTAACTCCCAGCTCACCCCAAACAGGAGAGCTCCCTGAGCCAGGCAGGAACCAAGGCTAAAATCCAGCTAAAATTCATCCTAACAGCAATACACTGAATAAACTAGCTGGGCTTGTCACAGCAAATCCCTGCACCCAGGGCCCCGAGGGACAGCAAGGGAACACAAATACTCTGCCCTTTACCCATTGCTGTCCTAACCTCTGTCTGGGAACTGCACATCGTGGGGACAGGCTGCAGTGGATTCTGTGACTGCAAAATACCCTGGCAGAGCTGTGTCACCATCATATTTTCTGAAAAATCCCCTCACCCAGGTTTTTCTCCTGGGAAGCTGAGAAGCCTCAGAGAAAAAGGAAAACAGTAATTATCTGATTTGCTTCTCCTGTGTTTTGCTGCTTTGGAATGTGGTTTGGACATGGTTTACCAACAGGTGATTGTTCCACTGGTTTCATGTGAATTGTTTTTACTTATTGGCCAATTACAGCAAGCTATGTCAGATTCTGGAGAGTGTCCCGAGTTTTTCATTATCATCTCTTAGCTTTCTGTCTGTATCCTTTCTGTATTTTTCAGTATAGTTTTAGTATAGCATAATCTAACATAATCTAATCTAATGTAATAATAAATTAGCCTTCTAAGAACATGGAGTCAGATTCCTTCCTTTCCTTCCAAAAATGGAGGTCTCAGAAAATACAAGAAGAGCTGTGCATCCAGTGCTATGGATCACACATGGGTGGTTTGGTTGCTGCTGAGTGGGGCTTGCCCTCCTCAAGGACTCTGCAGCATCCCATGGGACAATCCATGTTTTCCACTGGGAATGCAGGGATGAGAGTTGGAGGCAAAGAATGCATTGGACACCTGAGCCTGGTCTCTGTCCCTGTTTGTGAGGTGACCATCAACATCTTCCCAGCCCATCCCATGCCAGCAGTGATCACCCTCTTCTTGCCCACTTTCCAGACACAGCAGGAACTTCTGTGGGCCCAGCTTGGATGGGGATGGCCCAGTGACATCACAGTGCTGGGACCAGGACACCGTGTGACATCACAGCCCTGCCTCACGCCGGTGTCACCCTCTTTGTGACATCAGGGACAGCAGCACCAGCTCAGCCCTGAGGGTTCTCATGGCCAGAAAAAGCCTGGAACTCAAAATGGGAGCCCAGCCCATGGCAGTGAAGCATTCCCAGGAGCAAGGGGCACTTCAGGAACAGGCCTGGTGCCACCAGTGCCACCCCACGGGGCCTGAGAAGATCCTGCAGACACAAAGGGAGCTGAGTTCCCCCATACCTGAGCTGCCTGGTGAGAAGTTTTTGTTTGCAGCTCCCCAACTCCTCCTGCTCTAAAGAAATCAGCATTTCCCAAGGAGCTCTCAGGTTGCTCCCACTGCTCTGGTTTGCACTGGGATAGGGCTCCTTTCTTCACAAGAGCTGGCACAGGCTGGGTTTGGAGTCAGGATGGCTCAGGAAAGAGCTCCTTGGGAAAAAGTGATTACCTCTGAAAACATCAGTGTTACTCTCACAGTGCAAATGAAAACATTGGGCTGGGTTCTTCATTTCTGGTATTAGCAGCAGCCCCCTGTCACACAGGAAGATATAAGCATAAATTTCTAAAAATACATCCTAGCAACCTTGTAACATCCCAGTACTACAGAGCAGTTTAATTTCTAGTTAGAAGATGACACTGGGAAAAATGAACTTCATGGATTTCATAGTACACAGCAGCAGTGGAAAAAAATATTACATTTTTAATATTTATTTCTAGAAGTGCTGCACAAATCAAGAGCAAACAATTCCACCACCTACACAGGACATCTCTTATCCTGACAGCACAACAGAATGCTCCTTATCCAGGAAAAGAGGGCAAAAAGGCACCATACAATGCTCACATCATTTCTCCAGAGCTGCCTCATCCCCCCAGTCAGAAACCACACGCAATTGCCAGGTCTGGTTTTCAAATCTTTGCCCCCACTAAAGAAAAGATTACCAGACCTCCAACTCCAAGACAGAAAAAGCCATGAAGAAAATTCCAAAGTCAAACCCTACTTGCAAACATCCAAATTCTCATGCTATCTAATACCTGGAGTAAGCAGAAATCCAAGGAAATTAAAGCTGCCATTTGGTACAATCCAGACACAATCATCATCTGAAATGCCACAATTCCTGTTGGGTTTCTGACTTTCCTGAGCTGTAAGCAGAGCAAGCCCTGGGAGTTTCTTAATAGAAGAGCTGAGTATTTCCCCCAATATTATTTTACCTGCAATTAATTATTCTGATATATAGGAGGGTAATCAGAAGTTGTGCTGCCAAAATGATGCCTGGACTGGGCAGAAAAGCACAGGCACAGCCTGAGTATGTCCAGCTCCTCCTTGCTTTTCCCCAAAAAACCAACAGAAGGACTGCAAACCTCTAAGCAGAGCAGTCCCTTTGCTGCCTGAGCATTCCCAGATCAATCCCACAGGAAATACTCCTGCTCTGTTCAAACAAGTCTTGGGGCTCTGGGAAACATCACTGTGGCAGGCACTGGGGCTGCAGGAATTCCAGAGCAGCCATCCCAGCAGAAATTGCCTGCCCAAAAAACATTTCCCCAGCACTGCCTCTCCTCTGTGGGCAGCAGCCATCCTTCCTGCACACCCTTCAGCCAAGTGTCCCCTGCTCCTCCAACCCAATCCTGGCTCTTGCTCTCTCTGCCACACACATCCCAACACTCCTGTAATTCTGGAAGAAGAAATTTTTGCTTGTTTTTCTTGTCTTTTTTTCTTTTTTAAATTATCTTTTCCTTTTTCCCACCTGCACTTAGAGATTACTTCTTAATGAAGAACCAGCAGAGGAAATCCCAGAATGGTTTGGGTGGGAAGGGACCTTAAAGTCATCCAGACATCCCTGCCATGGCAGGGACACCTTCCACCCTCCCAGGCTGCTCCAAGCCCCAACGTCCAACCCGGCCTTGCAACAATCCTGGTTGTTCACCCTGGGGAGGGGAAGCCTTGGGGTGACCAAATTGTGGCCTTCCAGTGCCTGAAGAGGCTACAGAAAAGATGGAGAGAGACTTGGGACAAGGGATGGGGTGCCTGGACACAGGGAATGGCTTCCACTGCCAGAGGGCAGGGATGGATGGGATATTGGGAAGGAATTGTTCCCTGGCAGGGTGGGCAGGCCCTGGAATGGATTTCCCAGATCAGCTATTGCTGCCCCTGGATCACTGGCAGTGTCCAAGGCAATGTGCTTGGAGCAGCCTGGGA